GGTGCCTTTTTCTCGCCATATGTTACCCAAATCGCCACCGATAAATGCAGTATACACTGTGCGCGCCATAAGTCCTGCATAATGTACAGTGTCGGGACAGGAACGCATCATGTTTTGAACGTTAAGGGGAAAAAAACCTGATCGAACCCGATCCATATGAGTTCCGTGCCGGGATGTGTGCTCTCTAGCGCTAGCGGGGCGATTGTGGGGACAACTGTGTCGCTAAACAAAAAATACCCACGCGGTGTTTTCTTTAGCGAGTACGGCAAAATATGCACATATTATAGAACATGTTGGTTATAGGTGTCTAGCGGTTCGAATTCAATTGATGGAATTCCAGAAAATAGGCCCAATTCTCCTCAGGTTTTTGTTGCACAAAATAAACAGACTCAAAACCATATCATTAGGATTTTGTTAAAATTATTTATGGCATGCATGCCGAAACAGCCTTTGTTTTCGTTGAGTTTTTTTTCTTCTTTTTTCTTTTTTTACAATTTTTACATTCTTGTTACCTGCACTTCGTCATTTGTAACGTATTTTGGAGAGACAATGACAACTTCAAAATACAAACTTTCAACGGCGACGCTAGTATATATGAATCAAAATATAATTTCTTTATAGAAAATAAAATCATTTAGAGTAAGTTAATAATTAATAGCAGTGATGATTGGGTTGAAATAATATTATGCATAATTTAATGTTTAGCGATTTTGACGACAGTTATTGTATGTAAGAAAACATCGTTGATAATGACAGTCTTTGTAAAAAAAAAAACCAAATCACATGCGGTGCATTCGAGATAGTACAATATCAAATCACATCAGTTAGTTTTTGGCCTTGTGCAAGGAATGAAGGATATCGATCGACTAAACCATTTGGCGATTGTTGTCGTTGCGACCATTTTTAGCCCGACTCTGCCAAGGCACCCGATCGATGATTCCTCGCCGAGATTTTTCTCGGGTAGGTAGGCTGAAGTGAGGAGGAGGTAAACATGTTGTTCTTTGATATTTACAGGTGTCTTTTTATTACTAAAATAGGTCATATAATATCATGGTGCTTTGAAATTAAACTGTGCACGGACCTCGACCTCTGGAACAACCCCCCCCCCCCATTTACATTATTCGTTTGCCACAACCAACTCCTTGTCGACCTTCAAATATAATTTATTTCTGTATTTTGTAATTAGGAATTAGTGGAACAGTTTGCAGTGTGTTTTGAAAATTGGACCTTATATTCAGTGCACTTGTCGCAACGGGTCCTGATAAACAGCAATTCAACTTCAACATGTTTGGTTTTCTTAAACAGTAACGTCTAATTATTTCTTTACTGTCATAGTAAATTAGTTATAGAACTAGTAATACATAGTTAATAGTTATAAATATAATGTGATTGAAAAATGTGATTTTTAATCTTGAAAAGTGCGCGGTTTTTTAGCTCACGCGATGAAGAGCAATCAAATCTAGATTTTACACGTAGGTAAAATTTCTTGAATCTACATGTTTATCTTTTTTTTTTAATATAAATAAGTTTAGGACACCTATGTATTACAAGTTCCGTTCTTAAATCAAAACTCGGCCCTCTTTCCACAAAAGCTTGCTGATATTCAACATGATATCTTAGCGAACTATTTTGATGATTCCAAATACATAAAGTGACTTTTCCTGCTTGTATCATCGCCAAATGTTTAGATATTAAGTGACAAAACATAAAAAAGTGTCTTTTGTTCTCTTATATGGAAAGGGTCCTAAACCACACTATTACCGTCAATCTATTCCTTCAGTATATAACAGAGTGCAGTGATAAATTATGTACTTTGAATGAAAGATAAACGTCAGCCCTACGCCATCCTGAAAGTGATTGCATGAAAAATAGATATAGATCTAACAAATGCGTACTCTAAAGCCGATGGCCTTGCGTTGCCAAAACGAAACGCATAATTCACTGATAGAATGATAATCATGCGCAACGGATCACTGAATATTTCTGCATATGATGTTAGTATACTGAAAAGGGCGTGCATCTTTGCGTGGCCGCCTCCCGATGGCGTAACACGATGAATCACTCAGACCCGTGTCTCTTTTTTATTCCTAGCCTCTACACCTGAAACATTCTCAGGCTTCGTCTAATTTGATAAATATTCTCCAATGGTGAGGTTAGATTTCGCGAGATAATGGATGTGCAGCTCGGGTCGCAGGGGCTGCAACGAAGCCTATCCATCACCATTTCCTAAGTTTTGTATTGTGAATTCAGAACGGCTGTCCTATCTCCGCTTACGAACAGATCTCTCGATAATAACACTCGATCGTACGAGAAAAAGCTTAGGCCTAAGCGTTTCACTTCAGGCATTATTGTGATAGTAATGCAATTCTCCGAAATCCCTGGTGTTTTTGCCTGTAACGGTTGTAAGCTTTATCCAATTTGGGTATTTGCTTTTGTTTCTCCTGTCGTTTCTGTATCTTATCTGGAAAAAAATTGCTCCTTAGTGCATAAAATAATCATTTCAGTTGTGTCATTTCAAAGAATTTTTTTTTCGGAGACAGTAATAGTCAGGCTGGCCTAATCAATGTTTGTACTTTTGAATTGTAAAGCACAATTATGTGGATTAAACTAAAATAGATAACTAATATAGTGTCTGATATAATGACAGGATTTTTGTTAAGAAAGATTGTTAAAATTAACAAAGGAATTTGGCTACTTGTCAACAAAATGAGAAAAACGTTGGACTAAAACTCCCGTTTCTGTCATGAAACAACAAAAACCCGGGAAAATAAGCACAAAAGTTTCCAATTGCGAAATCATGGAAAAGGACGCATCAATTTCATTTAACTTCATTTAACCTTAAAATATAATAAGACTATCTTTCATAGCAGTAGACAACACAACTTGAACTATTCATATGAACTATTCCTAATTTGAACTGATTCATGAGAAAATTCGACAGAAAAGGGTATTTTTTTATAATTTTTATTTTAATAAGACGTTAATAAGACGCTTATCCAGGGTATATTGGGAGGTCAAATTGCCTTTAGCGAAGCTCCGAACAATCTACAAATGAAATCAATTTAACATATCCTCAGGACGTCCGCGTAATTACTCAATTTGCAGGTTGCCTTCGCATCCAGATCTGTCCACACGCAGAAATTACCATCCTGAAAGCTTGGGGCAAAAACGCATTTGAATTTTTTCAATCAAAAAAAAAAAAGATTGCCCTTTGCGAGATTTTGTTGTGGACAGCCAATTCTGGGTTGCCATGGGAATAGGCCTTGATGCTTTCGTCCCGGTGATCCGAGCGTTGCGCTAGGGTTAAAATGTGGGGCGAGCGTTCAGTAACCTAAGACGGGTGTTTACGATCTGTGTCCCAGCTACCAGCTCAACTCCTTCAGAACAGACGTGTTTCTCGCGCTGTATCTTAACACCGCATCAATTAATTTCTTGAAACAAGCTTTGACAAAATCCAAGACAATATTGCCATTTGGGGACACCACAGTGACCAAAAAGCTCTTATGCACTTTTGAGTAGTTCCGAGATCAATTTTTGAAAAAAATAAATATAAATATCAGGTAATTTGCTCTTTGGATATAGAGAATTATCTCCGTAATGAATGCTGATAATATCAACTTTTTTTAATCCTCATTTCTGAATGGGCAGGGCTGTATAACAAACCAAGAAACGATTACTTCAAAGGTTTCTCGATTGGCACTCTTTCCGGACACAGAACAAACAGTCCGATTTGAAATGTCATCGCATAATTATAATCCTCTGGCTGCAAGCAGAAATTATTTTTATTCATTTATCTTGACATTTCAGTTGGTTTTTTTTATTTCAATTCGAACTGACTTCTAGAAAGGTCAGAGTATAATCTGTATCCTTTAAAATTTACTCCTTTTATCCTACCAGTCGCCTCTGTTCCTTAAGACTGAGATTAGCATTTTCAATTTGGAAATAGATTTTCTCCTCGATAAAAAAAACAATTGTATGAATGAATCACGATTATTTCCCTGGGAAAAAAAAACTTGACTATGCAGAAGTAGGTCGCGTCAGCTACGAGTCTCATCTATTTTTCTTGTCATAGTAAAAGCTTTTATTCATATACCTCAGACAGTTTACCCGTTCCTATTGGTGGAGAGCCCGTCACGTGCCCGGTCTTAAACGGTTGTTAAAACACCAACTGGCTGGTTTTAAAACTTTTCGAGTGTCACATGAAATTTGGACTCCCATGAAATCCGGTCCCTTTTACCCTTTTATTGGTTGAACGTTCACAATCCTCGGTTAGGCATGCACAAGTAATACTACCAGTGAGTCAGTATTTCATGTCCTAATTCACACTACAACCGCACAGCTGCGTTCTGCGCCACATCGCGCAGGACGCGCAACGCGCGCCAAACTGCCTATAAGGAGTTGTTTCCAACTACACGCGAGAGGCACATACTATAACATAGCCAGCGAAGTGTTAACAAACATGAAGTAAACTTGTTGTACAAAATCATTGGAAATTTATACCTTTCGACTTGTTTTGACTGTTTGACCGTAAAGGTATGTATGATACCTTTCATTATCTTCGTCCAGACTCCAAACCGGTCTTAAACATAGTGTTAAAACCGGCCAAGCACATATTTATTTCCTTATTATAAAATGATACTTTAGGTAGGTATTCCCATAGACTTGTGCACAAACAAAAACCAACCACAAACCCTTCCATAACCCCATTTGAAAGTACTACTACCCCCTCCCTAAACTTTTTTAATTATACTATTCATGGCCTAAGAAATCATTTTAAGCATTGGCGACATTTTATAAAATTCGTGCTCGGCTAGAAATGGTAATCAAAGCATTAAGGAGATATTGAAATGTTTCTCTAATGACCAGTATCTCCCCACTGCCGCTTATGTGATTGCCCCCCCCCCCCCCAAAAGAAATGGTTGATGAGCTCAGATAAAGATGGAATATATTACTTTCCCAGTAAATCAGAGTAACTCAGAAATTGAAACAATACAAAACAATTTCGATTATCTTCGTCCCAATACTTTCATTTTATTCATGGTACTTCTCAGTAATGGCAAGAGTATACATCGATGGTACAAAAAGGTATAGTTTAACACCGGTCTGTATACAGGTATGTATAGCTGTAATACCATGATTCTTCATGTTTTGTGTTTTCTTTGAAACAAAAATTCGTGCTTAGTTCGTCAATGAAACCAGTATTATATCAATGAATCTAACAGTGCAATAAATGAAATAGCATAGTTAGCATACATACTGATATCGAAATAATAGCTGACAATACATAAATGATCAAGTTATCAGTGGGCAACTTTTCATTTTTTTTATACCGATGTTTAGTATTTTTTTATTTTTAATTACGTAACAAAAACAAGAAACGCGTGTATTAACGTTCCTCATGAAATCCAGAACATTTTTGCTCGATATGATCTATTTACGGTGTAATACTATTGCGAATCGTTGTTTATTTTATTTAATTCTTAATTAAAAAGTTAGTTATTTTCCCACTTTGTTGACTCGAAAACATTTCGACAGTTGCTTTTCGTAGTCTATCGTACTCGGATAAAATCCGTATGTATTTAGCCTGATACTAAACATGCTGCATTTGTTGTTGCCGAAGCTAGCATTTCTCAAACGACAGTCCAAAAATTTCATTTGTAATTGCGTAGTTCCGGTACAGTAAACGTACAGTGATGTTCAACTTCATAGATACCATACAAAATCCTATTTTAACAATCGTAATCGTAAAATGCTTACAGAAAACTTAAAATAAATTTGTTGTTAAACAACGAATTTATTTTGGGAGAGCACATCTTTTGATGACAGTTTTTTTTTTAACTGTTGCTCTTCCCTGGGCAGCCCCTGCTAATGAGATATCGTTTACTTCTGTGTTGTCCAAAGATTTAAAATAAATAAATAAATAAATAAAACACATACAGTGAGGATTCTAGATAAATATTTGGGTAAATTATCTTCTCGATTTACCATCATGTCGACTAAAATTACCTTGGTTCTTTAAATGGTATATATTTTTTCGCTACTTAAATGTATATTTTGCTATAGACCTTATCCATTACGGGTTTTTCAGAGGGCATTCTGTGTCATTTAAATTTAGTAACAATGAATGCGCAAAAGGTTTACTAATGCTTATCCACGCAATACAAAAACCAATGCCCTCTGACTTCGCCCTAACGCATAAGGTCGATAGCAACTGCACACAGGCTAAACACATAAAATACCAATATATTTCAGTTGAACCTTTAAGCAAAATGATACAAAGCAAAATAAATATTTTTCAAATGAATACTGAATGCGGCATAATTAAATGAATTAATATGAGCCTTCCTAGCTGAATTATTAACGTGATTTTTTATAAATGTTGCCCTCGGTAGATTTAATTCCTTGTGAGGATAGTGCAACGAATGCTGGACTTAAACAGGTGCAAGTTGATTAATGTGTCACTGTATTAAAACATAATAATCTTGGAGGTTAATCTTGTTTAACAGCTGAGTTATTCCTATATAATAGTATAGGTAGATAACATGAGATTATTCATATCATCGTGGCTAGTGATAGATAAGTATTGAACTAAATAAAATATAAATACATTTTTTATAAATACGAATAATAATAAGTTAAAAGCGCGAATATGGCACCACGAACGCGAAAAAAAGGATAAAGCTATATCGGTAGCCTTTAATATTGAGATAAAAATGGGTTGTCATGCCAACACCCGTTTCCTAGCAACATAGTTCCGCTTGAAAACAGTAATTTTACCGAAAACGTTTGTACTCAAGTTGTCGTAGTTTTGCTGCGGTTTTGTGTGTGTGTACAAGTTAATTCGCATCTTCATTCATTCAATAGTGATGTGGCGTTCATAACAAGATCATAAATGACATGAACTACAGGCAAATCGATGCCTACATTGGAAATCATGGAATCTTTTTGGAATGCCATTCCCCGTATGACACAATAAAAAAATGTTTTACATACATCGACCCAGCGACGATAACATAAATATTCAACGGTGCCAGCATAAAAGCGTGCAAAAATATCGTATATTTTCATATAATTATAGTATTACTTTGCTGTATATACTAATGCCTCCATACTTCGTACAAAATAAATTAAAATATAAGTGCGACATGTCAACATGTTCTTCGCTATACACATTGTTAATCATTGCTTATTTTGTGTTGGTTACACCAACTCGCTAAATTTTGCCGGTGATATTTTATAATACTTGGTATCCATGATGTATTTGCTATAAACATGTCTTTAATATCTCCGTGTTTCATTCACTTACTGCGGTGTATATGATTACACATTGTACACGTAGGACTATACTCCTTGATTAGGATGAACGTGATACATGAAAAAGTATTTTTGTATGTTTAATATAGACGTACTATGGGTAAAATTGCAGTAATTTTTTTGCTAGTTGTTTCTATAACCAACTGGTTGGATTGTGAATTATTTAGGTGACATGTGGTTCTAGCACTAATGTTTCGATTGGTTATCATACTTTACTAATAATGAATGGTTTTTTTAGTGCAATGGTAAGAATAATTTCATGAGACGATATGTGGAATGTGAATTGAACATTCCGTCTGCCACCGAATGAAATGATTCTTACCATTGCACGAATGTGAAACATTCATTGTTTGTTTTACACAACACCTGAATAAATCCTCGTCGTCTGATTGGTCAGAGCCACCAGTGGTGTGACCGTGCAATATAATTTCTATTTACCAGACAATAGAACTTTTATTTTTTGCGGTGCGGCTGGGCCGTGGGTTGGAGGAATAATTCAATGACATGTGATGGGCGACCCACCAATCAGATGACGCGGATTTATTTAGGCGTTGCATAACATGTAATATAAAAAAAATGATGTAGTTTAACGTGAGAATAGTAATGATAAATACATCTTTATTTACAGAGTATATTTACATCGGTAAACCTTTTTTTACACTGCGGCTGTTGTTGAGTTCTCCCTCCGGAAGGGGAACCGCGTGACCAGATTGCTGATTCGGTTCTGTGTCCACATACTCTTGATGGAATTGGATCGGCTCCGTTCGGGTTTGCTCTCGTGGGTCGGGCTCACCTTGGCGATGGTCAGGTGTCGCTCGATCGCCTGGCCGAGCAGCTCCGGGTCGAAGCCGGTGCAGACGATGGTTTGCGGGGCTGGACTCGTACTCGTGCTTGGCTGGTTCTCGGCTTCAGGTGTAGTGACTGGGCTGGGTGATTTGACGGGTGACGGCGTCTGGATGACAGGTACCACAGCTGGCACCTCCTCCTCCTCTACCTCCACTATGTTACCGTTGTCGTCCTGGTCGCTTTCGACCTCCCCAAGCATGGGTTCCAGTTCTGTAGGACACTGGGCCGTGGTGGTCGGGTAGGAGCGATTCCGGCAGAATCCGTTAGAGGTCCGCTTCTCACCTCTGGAGAAGATCTTGGTCGGGAAGTTGGCGTTGGTGTTAGAGTTCTGGTTGGGGGTGATCAGGGCGTGCTTGGGGGACCAGTCGTGCAAGTCCATGGCGCAGGTGTTGAGATCTCCCGTGGTGTGGTTGTTGGTAATTCGCATGCTGTGGTGTCTACTTGACCAGGATCGTGGAGAAGTGTTGGTGGGGGCACCCAGGGATCTTTTAGGGAGAGGTGCTATCTCAGCTATGTCCTCGTTGAGGCAAGTCTCGGCTTCTTCGGTCGCGGTGTGCTCCTGGGGCAGCTCCGGGGTAGCATCCAGCCGGCAGACGATGGTGTTGTTGCGTCTCCGGGTCACCTTTTGTTTCCTGGCATCGGAGAGGATCTTCATGAGGTCTTCGTTGGAGCAGACGATGCCCGTCTTGGGAGTGATATTGCCCGCCGAGTCTTGCAGGTTGTTCTTGGCGGTACGGAGCATGGTGACATCAATGGCCGACTCGCTGTGCGAGCGAAGCATCTTCTTCTTTGGGTGAGGTCCCATCTTGGGTTTCGGCGCTGCGATTTGCTCCACGGAGCTCGTGGTCGACATGGCTGCCTCCGACGGACTCGACCGCAGTATCTTATTCTCTTGATGCATGCCTCCGATCACAACAACACTGTCTGACGATTGATGCCTGAGCGATCGTTTGTACAGTCGGGTCCGCGCTTTGGGTCCGAATCTCGTCTCTGAACGCGAGCGCGGCAGGGAAGATGGATTTCTGGCAAAGGCGATTGCTCTGAGTGATTTTACATCCACGCTGTCCAGGCTTATACATGAGCGATCGCTGCTGCTTCCACTAGTACTCGAGCTTGAGCATGTAGAGAGGCTGACACGCGGGGAATTATTATCAGCGCTGCTTGTGCTAGCAGAGCGGTTGAGTTTACTGGTGCGCTTCATCCGCGAGCGCCGGTAGCGGCCGACGTCAGACAGCACGGACTCCTGATTGGCTGACTGATCCGGCACGTCAGGCTCATTAGCATGAGTGTCAGGCGTGTCATTGTCCTGGGAGCTCATTACGGGCTCGGCGTTGCTAGGCAGTGATGTGATAGCGAGCTCCGTCCCGCTGTTGCCCGGTAGCCGTGTGGTGACGCTGTTTGCGGCGTCGCTGCTCTCGGGTCGCGGCGTACGCCTCATTCGGAACAACTCCTGCAACCATGAATAAACACAAAAACCAAATCATTCCATTAGAACTCAATTACTGCACGGAAGCTTATTAATTAGCCATTAAGACCCAAAAGTGAAACTCGCTCGCTCCAATATAGAATCCCAATCAGGGAACAGTGGCTATACCAAAGAAAAAGGAAATGAGAGATTATTGTCAATGTATGTATTCATTGAAGCTCGATTTTAAAACGCTACTTCCAAGCAGTTTCTTGGAATGAGTTAAAACTTTAATGTGTACCTTATAAGGGATATCTCTACCTGACAACCTCGTAATAACACAGCATATTAAACCAGCAGCATACGGTACGTGGGTTTGGAAGTCATGCATGGCGGGCCATTCAATATCGTCATGGCTCGTTTTACGGGTACCGTAGCTCTAATATACAATAATGCAAATACTGCAATAACGTAAAGTTACGTACGCTTCAGGGAAACGTGTTGAAGTTGTAATTTATGGGGTTTTTTTCAAGTACGTGTCAAGGCTGTCTATTCCATTAAAGGCATATAGGATCATTTGCCTTTGACGCATTGTGTTCATTTCCAATAATTACACCACTCAACATCCAAAGAAGAGTACTCAAAGATCTAATCGGTTGAAATTTCAGCTCATAATAGGTTGACATTTTAGCTCAGTGGATAGTACGCTTTTCGAGAAAACAGTGAAAAACCATGCAAAACCTTTTGATCATGAAACACGATTTCGTCCATAGCACTGTTTTAGGAAACCCAGACAACCGACTGGTCGTTGCAAATCGACAAAATTTTTGATTTCTTGTAAATGACAGCAAGCCAGACGGCATAATTTCATGGGGTGTTTAGTATCAGTATGAGTGTTATTCCAAGTAGGCCTAAAGCTTGATAATAAATCGTTGCTTGTAGGACATGCCAATGATCTTACAATGAATTTGAGTAACGCATTCAAAGACACACACAACATTCAAACAATTTCTGAAACTGTATTTGTGGACGTCCCTTTTCTTTGTAGTGTATGTTTTCCGGCGGAAATTTAAAATTCGGGAAGTCACCAATATTTGTGTCACTTGACAGAGATTTTGATAAAAACCCCAACATTTTGGATCACAAAGTGGACGTGGCCCTATTCATTATGTCAATTGTTACGGCTTTTCGAGACAAAATTTAATTCCACCACACGAATATCAGTGAACAGAGGCATATATACATGGGTCTGCCTTTTACTTTCAATAATCCCACAACCATTAAAAGTATTTAGTAATATTTTACGCAGCATAAGCTAGCGCGATGTACTATGTATAGGTCGGGGGTTTTTTCAACCGATATCTGCATGCAATCTTAATTTCTAGGTCATGTCATGACTATTCCACGTGACAAGGTAGCTTTTGCTTTTTGTTATATCGGTGTTCATCAATGAACTTGAAGTGAAATTGCGATCAGTAGAAATCAACCCAAAATCGTAAAGATTTGCCAGCTACTATTTTGTCTGTATGTGATGGCAGAAAAGCATTTATTTGTCGGTGTCTGTTGGGAAACAATAATGCAGGACTACAGACAGAACCGTGTGGAACTTACAATAACCATAGTTGGGACTCTTGTCATAATATTCTCATTAGGGAATGGTGTGTTTTCTGCACAAATTCCACATGGAAATGATACAGCGAGAATAAGTAAGTACCGCTCCCGTGACACGCTGTGATACTGCCAGATAATCAGACGTACTGTGCGTCAGCGATCTACCACCATTTTGCAAAACTCCATGAAATGTTGATTCAGTATATGCTGCGTAAAATGATATGCCTCGGCGGTAGATTTCCTTCACTCAGGCCACAAAAAAAGCTTGTTCGTTCTCCTCTCCGGTTCGTTCAGCACGATGCAACGTAAAGGTTAAATTTCCACACGGTCGTTTGGAGACGAGCGGCCACAAAATTAGAAATTCGACAACCGAAGGCTAAAATACATGGACCGGATGAGTATTAATATGTACTCAATCCAGCGTCCAAATTGACGTTTATTTTTGGACGCTCTTCGCTATAGGACCGTATTGACAGGTGTGTGTGTGTAGTGCTTTATTTGTGTTGTACCCCGATAATTTGTATTAAAACCTGAGCAAAATAAAACACTTGAGAGTAATTGCTTCTGACAGTACATTATCTCTGAATGATAGATTTATGAACAGATCCAGTAGATTAATTTTTGAGTTTACAAATGGAATCGGACCTCTGGGGGTGTATACAATTGATTGAATTGACTTTGAATCTAAATAAGTTCAATGCACAGTGTGATACGCTTTGAAACCGCACAGTTGAAGGTAAAGTCCTCTGGTAAACACGAGGCAATTTTGGTCGGCGGAAACGGGCTTTTAGAGCCGAAGACAGTGTCACGACAAAAGGAAGAAGAGCCACTCAGAATTGGAACGGGCTCAGTCCAATCAATTTAGCACCAACGGCGAGCGAGCCGGTGATGACGTCAATATCCCTGGATGGATGGAGTCTAGATGCCCGGAGTCTTCGGCAGTCTACACACCCTGGATGGATGGAGGAGAAGGATACGCGCCGCCTTCGCCCGCTATCAGCGGCACGTTAAGCGCGCGATTACCATAATGCGGGCCCGGAGCTACGTCAGGGTACAAGGACGAGGCTGCGCGTGCTGCATGTGATCTGGTGACATATCTGCAGGGTGTACGACTGTTCGGCCTAGCTTGCTTATGCCAGAATCGGACAGCACGTCAAGATTGCTTCTTTTCATCAAGCCGAGTCTGACCCTTAGCATTTTGGACCTTGTACCGGGCCTCCCGAGTAATTTCATGCAAGAACGCAGACATTATTTTAGCGTAAAATATCGCTACACGGACTGGAGTGCGCGGGATGAAAATAAGGAAATGTGAATGGATTCATAATGTCCCAGAGATTCTTACATTTTGTTTTACATGAATTAGTATTTTTTGACAAATTGTAATTATTTCCTTTCGAGTAATAATCTGATTAATGTATTATTTATCATATATTATGTATAATCTTGTTTGCTTAGTGATAACCGCTGATTTCCTTAGGATCCTCGGGGTGTTTTTCTCGATCTCTTAAAAGCCACTCGTATGTATACAAATGATTTTGCCATGTCAATATCTCTACAAAAGCAACAAAGCGAATGCAAAGAAGAGCATATTGTAAACAAGGTTAAAAAAAACCCCTCTATTTTTAGGTTTCCGATACGGGCATCCAATCCATTAAAAAAACGGAAATTCTAATGTCTTGCTTTGTTGTTTGTGATGGTCTTTTCGTTCAGAAAAACAACGCCTGCAGTCACAGTGTGTGTTTACGATTTCGGCCCGAGCCGTGAGACCGTAAGTCAACGGCGCGGTGCCGTCTTGTCACGGGCTACAAGCGATGATACCCCGTCGGATCCCGTTGATTTTTTTTAGCCTTCTAGCATTCAGCAACCCCAATTGGTTTGAACCTGCGTAGCTATCCGTGTACTTCGTCGGCTGCTTTGCATATTGTTACCGTGTGCTGCGACCGAATTGTGTGTTGTACTGTGCTTGTGTATTTTCTACATATGCGAAGGCGGGGGTGATGATACAGTGCGTGTGAACTCCGATTGATTTTCTCTCTGTCATTTTTAGTATTGACGCAAATTAAGTATCATATTTGTATCCAGTGTTCCATGAATTGCAATTTCGACTACAAAAGATCATTTTTTTGGCACAGGTGCGCATTTGCATTTCATTGTCGATAAATTAAAATTAGACAACTGTTTGCACTTAAAAATGACTAAAAATAAACAAAATTGGCTGGCGCGCGTGCTGAACAACAAGTAACACAAGATTCGTTCTCTTTTGTTTTGGGTGTAAATTTTTGCATTTTTCATGTGCGTTACTAAACATAATAATTTAATACGTGTGATGAAAAAGGCAAAAAGGAATTTTCTGTAAATGATAATAAAGTTACAGTTGAAGTTAATTTAAATTGAATTCAATGATGCATGTTTAACTTAGCAATTTTAAAATATTTGTAAAAAAACACATTGCAAACAGTTTTACATCATGAAAATAATTAATTTTGAAGCATAATATTTGCGGTTTGAGTTGCTTGTATAAGGATTGTTTTCTTTGAAAAGCTTCGTGTTTTTTGTCCGGTTTTATCAATACAAGGGAGTCGGCTGTCACTTCTGGTCCTATCTGTTTCATTCCATTCTCGTATCAATTCTCAAGATGTCAAGTTTCATTATATCGTCCCTCGGCTTTCTCTCCCCACCACCCCCGTCTTGCCCCCCCCCCCCGTATCGCCTCTCCTCTCCTTCTATTTTTATCCTTCCCCCACTTAATGCACTCGCGAACCCTTCGTCCCCTTCACTTAGCGAAGCTGTTCACGTGACAACCTCCCTATATGTCCATCTCTCATGAAAGCGCCGGAGAAATTTAATGCCGTTTAAGAATATAATCCGCTCGAGGAAACTGAAGGCTTCATTTCAAAAACAACTTGCTGAAAAATGACTGCATTGGAACCGAAGATTGAGACTGTGTTGTACTGGAATGATTTAGATGACTGTAACATGACGGGCTTCAAGAACGTACCTCGACAACCAGACGCTAGATCGAATGTAACTTTTGTTTATACAATGACACCATCTTGAGGGTAATGAACACTATTTGCAAACATTCAAGTAAAACTGTCAAAATATCATGAAAATATCTCACCTGATTGTTAGCATGATAATGTTAAATTCATCTAAATGCGTTAAATTGCCGGTAATCATTTACTAAGTTGTGTCACGAGCAGGCCATTTTGATGTGCTTCTCATCATTTCTGCCCATGCGCGAAGCCCTACGTCATCTGACCCCAATACTGAATGTTATAAACATGTATATATCACTGCAAAAAAACATCCACTGCCCAGCGTAACTCTAGCATCATACATGAACGAATCAATAACATCAGACTACACGTATAGAACCATTTATAACTTACCAAAACCTGACAGATTTTCTGTTCTTTCAACCTTTTATATCC